CGGGCCACCGGCTCCCCTCGGCGTCTTCTGCTGTGCTGCGTGCGCCCGCCGAGACGCCGGCGGGCGGGCGGCGATAGCTCCCTGACGGCTGACGAGCAGAAGGCCCGGGGAGCGCGGGGAATATCGCCGTATCAGTAGTATCACACCTACTCCTCCCTCCCACAATAGAACTCGTTTTGGGATGCATGCAAATTAAATTTTCTCAATTTTAACTAGTTTTATAGAAAATGCGTGCAACATTTATATCTTCAAATAAGTTTATTATAAAAGTATATTCAACGATCTTTCTAATGATACTAATTATGTTTTATAAATATTAATATTCTTTTATATATAGTTGGTTAAAGTAAAAAAAAAGCTGACTTGTCGGAAGATGAGAATGACTTTTATTTTTGAGAGAGGGAGCAGGAGGACACTCCTTGGTAGGATAGGAGTAGTAGCTACCAACCGAAACACCGGTCACCTACTGCTACTCGCACGCCGCGCCCGCGCTCGCCTGCTGGGTCCGTGCCGGCCGGCCTGGCGGCCTGCTGGTCCCTCGCGCGCGCCGCGCCGCGCGGCAAGGCAGCGTGCGGCCCCCCCTCGTTGGCGTTGTTTTTGTCTGTTCCGCGGCGTGGGCCTGCGCGCACGTACGCGCTTGGCAGTGGCCGGCTCGATCGCCTCGATCGTCGCCTCGCGCGCCCCGGCGCCTGCTTTTTAAATTTGACCGCAAGCGTTTAGCGCCGTGCGATGCCTGATGCTCCTCGCTGTCGTTTAAAGTACGCCGCCTAAATGCGTAATAACACTGATACATTCGTGAGTTTATTGGAAGCGTTGGCGTTTTTTACCTTCTTGTCTTCGTTGGTTCCCGTCCTGAAGCGAGAGAGGGAAAAGACTGTAGTCAGTGGGAGAGAAGTCGATGGAATTTTGTGCGTAGCTCAAATGTTTGGATTTTGTATGTGATGTGACGAAGGCATTTTTGACCGATGTCTGCTAAACGCACACTCATGCTACTCTAAGAAGTGCAAACGTGTTGTTCGCATCATAGCCCTGCATACTGTGCACCGGAAGTGGAGCTGCATTTTTTTACAAATATCAAACAAACGTAACGGGACTCGAAAAAAGAAATAGAGGAAAGAAGGATGGCGCAAGAAACTAACACGGAGGAAAAGACCCGACGGACTCCTCGAGCCCATGAACGCCCAATTCTATGGAATGCGGCCCATTGATCTCACTCAGCCTTAGCAACGAATGCCCCCCGCACTACAACAAGAACACTGCTCAAGCCCAAGTGGATAGCCTTTCGAACGTGCGGCCCAATACTTACCCGCATCTACGTTAGTTCGTTACCCATGCTCCACTAAAAAAAAAGGTACCTTACCCATGCACGAGGTTACGAAATCCACTTTTTAACGAAGTAGTACGAAATTCACTTCCTCAAATAAAAAAAAAAGGCCTGGCTAGCGCCCGGATGATGCCCGCATCAGGAGTGAGCGAGCGTCTAGCGCGTCGGCTTTGTGAGCGAGCGCACCAGCAGTTGGCCCGCGTCATCGGCTGCTTCCCACGCGCATCTCATGTGCAATACCCAATCTACTTTTGAAACATTCAGATGCAATAGTTGCAACATGTCGAAGAAGACAGATGAAACACTTGAAACAAGCGTCTGAAACACTTACAAAAACGTCTGGAAAACATTTAAAAAAACATTACAAATATATGCAGCATCCAGATAAAAATACTTGCAAAACATGTATTTGAAACACCTGAAAACACTTAAAACATATGCTTGCCATATCTAGATAAAATCACTTGCGACATACGTCTGGAACAGATAAAACATTTGGAACATACACTTGAAAATATACGTGTATAGCCATTATAACATGTACAATATTCCAATCTACTTTTGCAACATCGATATACAACACTTGTAACATACCTCTGAAAACATCTGAGACACTTGAAACATACTCTTGCAACATACGTTTTTCACCCTTCTTTCGTACGACGCAACACAGAGCGAGAAAATGGCCGATTCTGGCAAGCCGATGACTGAGGGTGGTGGCGCGGCCTGGCAACAGCTAGCTGTGCCTGTGCCTAGCCTGGACCCGGCCAGCAACGGCCACCTCTTCTAGCTACCTGGGCACACACGGCTGAAAAGTCCTAGTTTGATTTTGGATAATTGATGAAATCTAGGACTAACCTTTGATCTAAGTGTGTGAATTAGATAAGGTAGTCCAATCCGAGTGGTGAAGCTACATGATGGTCTTGGTGAAGGTGATGGCCACAATTAAGATGATCGAGTGCTTTACATTTAGAAAAGAAGAAAGAGAAAAACAAAAATAGTCTCAAGGCAAAGGTATATTGATAGGAGCTATTTTTGGTTTGCACTCAAGACACCATAGAGGGTGTCAGTGATTTAGGATCGATAGCCGTACTATAAAGAGGAGAAATCTTTAGCTAAGCGGTTATCGAGTGCCACTAGGTGACATGATTCTTGCATATACATTTAGGAACCTAGTGTGCTAACTTTGACCATTGTAAAATGCTTTGAAAATACTAACACACGTGCACACAAGTTCCACACTTTATGGTTAGCAAGTTGAAAGTAAGGACGAAGCGGTTGTGAACTTAGAAAAAGAAAAGAAAAAGAAAGTCCACGACTGGACGCAACAGTCGGGGAGGACCTGCGCGTCCGGTCATTTATAGGCGGTGGCGCAGTGACTAGCCGAGAGCGAGGAGATGCGACCGGACGCAGCGACCGGACGCTGGCCGTGCGTCCGGTCATTGCGTGCAGAAGAGAAGCAGGACGGCCTCGCAACCGGACTCTGCTGGCAACTTGTGATCGGACGCGCAGGGGTGTGTCAGGTCGTTGCTGACGTACGCTAATGTCACTGTCCTACGCCAGGCTTGAACTGACCTGACTTTGGGGCGCGTCTGGTACCGTGTGACCTGACACATTCGGTCCGTAAAAACGCCTCGAGAAGCTTACTGTAAACGATCAGACGCCGAGGGCTCGAGCGTCAGGTGGCGCAAGCGGTGCGTCTGGTCATGACTTAACCGTTGGGGATCAGTTTCTAGCCGTTGAGATCGTGCGATAGAGGTTGAATGGAAGGGACATGTGGACGGCGATGGTGGACCGGACGCTAGGCGCGTGCGTCTGATCACGCACCGTCTGCGCGTGCGGTCGGCCCGAGGAAACAGGCAGTGAGGGACCAACGGCTCCTTCATGGTTGGCTCCCTATTTAAGTGTTTTGGCCAGCCCTTGGCTTATACTCTTGACACTTTGACATACTTGATCTTTTTGTGAGTCTAGGCAAACACCTTCCACCCATCTTCATTATTGATTCATCATCATAGTGAGATTGTGAGTGATTCCAAGTGTATTTGCTTGAGTGATTGCATCTGGTGGCACTTGGGGATCGTTGTGTCTGCGGATTTTCTTTGTTACTCTTGGTGGTTGCCACCACCTAGACTTCTTGGAGCAGCGGAGGAGCTTCGACACGTGTTGGTGATTGTTCGTGGCCGCTTCAGTGATTGTGAGGGGTCTTGTACCTTCTTCGGCAGAGAGCCGAAAGGTAACTCTAGTGGATTGCTCATGTCATTGAGTTACCTCACTTGTGAGTAGATTCTTATGGCATCCAATTGTGCGGACGAGGTTCGTGGAACACCTCTTAGCCGCCGAACCACCAAGTGTTGGTCGACACAACGGGGACTAGCGTGCCGGCAATCACGTGAACCCCGGGAGAAAAATTGCTTCTCTTGTCCATTGATATTCTCCAGGTGATTGTATTGGCATCCATATTGTGATTGGTTCATCCCTCTATACGGCGGTATAATCACTTAACTTACTCCTTTACTTTCCCGCAAAGTAGTTGTAGCAAACTCTTTAGTGTAGCAAGTTTGAGAGCTCTTAGGTTTTGAGAGCTTTTAGTGCCCCACGTTTTTAGCAAAACTTTCAGCTTCTTGTGTGATTAGTGACCAAAGGGTGGAGCAACACCTAAAGAACTCCATTGGGTTTTTTGTGGAGGCTCCTGCAACCCTTATGGAGCTAGAAACACCCCCTTAGTGAGTTACATTTCACTTGTGTGATTAGTGACATAGCAATTAAATTATTGGGTAGTGATCTTGTAGATTCTTAAATAGAGCAAGTTTGCATTTCACCGTTTGTCATACTAATTAAATTGCTCTAGTGATCTTGTAGATTCTTAAATAGGCTATTCACCCCCTCTAGCTATATTAGAATCTTTCAACGACGACCGGCACCTGCGCGCTTGCGTGGCTGCTGCTGGCGAGCATGAGCAAGTAGGGGCTGCGAGGGAGGAAGGGGTAGTGACGGAAGGCGGTCGGCGGCGATGGAGAAAGGCGAGCACGGCGCCCGCCAGCCCCAAACGTCTCGCCTTAGTGCCGCGTCGGGAAGACGAGCAGCGATGTGGTAGAGAAGTATGTCAGGTAGAGGCTGTTGGGCTGTCTGTATAGGCTAGATCCAATTAAAATAGTGTTCGATAGGAAAAACTGACGTAAAAAACTGTTTAGACGTCCGCCCACAAGCATTTTCAATAGAAAAAGGAGAAAGACAGAAAGAAGTATGCACTTCCTCTCACACAAAAAGTTCTTTATTGAGTGTCGTCCTAATAAAAAAAGGAAAAGATAGAAAGAAGTGTACGCTCCATCTCACACAAAAAGTTCCTTGATATATCAGAAGACACTTCCTTAAAAAAAAAGAGAATAAAAACCTGCACGCTTCCTCTCTCGGAAAAGGAAAAAAAGAACCGCGCACACTTCCTCTTCTCTCAGAAAAGAAAAAAATTCTATAAAAAAAAGAAAAGAAAAAAAGGAAGTCTTTACATACACAGACACAAAAAAAAAAAACGTGTACGGTTTCGCCCAGCGCCTCTTGTCATTTGCTTTGCTTGCTCTTGACTCGAGTCTTGCCCTGCTTGCCCATAGCTCCTACCTCCAAACGATCTCCACTTCCACCCCCATCCATCCCACCACCGGGACGCATCAAGCAGCCGGCGATGGGGTCCGCCTCCGCCCGCGTCGGCACCGCCACCTCGTACCTCGTCGCCGCCGTCGCGCTCCTCCTCATGCTCGCGCGAGGCGGCGAGCCCGTCAGCCTCTGGCTCCCGCCGCCGACCGCCGGAGGTGGGGGCTTCCTCGGCGGCGCGGACCGTTACCTGACTCGGGATGAGCACTGGATGACCCAGACCCTCGATCACTTCAACCCGACGGTATCCACTGCAAATCGATGTGTTCTCTCCGAATTTATGCTGACTTGAGGGTCGTTCTGCCGTTCGTTGGAACTGCTGGGAAATTTTTTATCCAATTGAAACTTTAATTACTGTGAGTTTCTAGTCTGCTGCAAAGCATGGGGTTGTTTTGTAATTCCTTGGCTCTTAGCTGATTCAGTTTCAAGTCGCAATGTTGTGGACCTTTGATTGTAACCTGCTGTTGTTATCTCAGTGGTATTATACTCCAGAAGAAGACACAGACATAATTCATTGTATCCATGATATGGACGAGGAATTTATATGCTTCTTTTGTATGCAGGACCATCGCCAATTCAAACAGCGTTACTATGAATTTCTCGACTACTACCGAGCTCCAAATGGCCCAATCTTCCTCTACATCTGTGGAGAAGCCTCGTGCACTGGGATTGGCAATAACTACTTAGCTGTGAGTTTAATGAGTATACACTATACAGACATGCAGCCACAATTTTTTTAGTTAAATGATTGGACATCCTATACTGCTTACTCTAGACATGATTCGTAATTTACTCAATCATTTGTGTGCAACAACTCTGGCTGTTAGATAACATATACATGTTGATGGATTATGTTATTAGGTGATGGCGAAGAAATTTGGTGCTGCATTGGTTTCTCCTGAGCATCGATACTATGGAAAGAGTTCTCCTTTTAACAGTTTAACAGCAGAAAATCTACAGTTCTTGTCATCAAAGCAGGCTTTATTTGATCTTGCTGTTTTCCGCCAATATTATCAGGTGCGCCGTGTGCATATGTGATTATATTATTTGTCAGTGTTCAAATGTGTAGACCCTTGTTCTGAGCTTTGATTTCTGTCATTTGTAGGAAACCTTAAATGTGAAGTATAATCGCTCTGGGGCAGACAGTTCTTGGTTTGTTTTTGGAGGGTCATATGCCGGAGCACTCAGTGCTTGGTTCAGGTTGAAGTTTCCTCACTTGACATGTGGAAGCCTTGCAAGTTCAGGAGTCGTTCTTGCTGTATACAACTTTACTGATTTTGACAAACAGGTTGGTGCAGGAGTAGATCTTGATTTATGCATTCAACATTAAAGCACTTCAGTCTGCACCTGAACTCCTGAAGTTCTACTTCTGTGTATGATTTACACCTCTGTAGATTGGGATCTCTGCTGGTCCTGAATGCAAGGCAGCACTTCAAGAAATAACAAGACTTGTTGACGGACAACTTCAGTCTGGCCGCAACTCAGTTAAGGAGCTGTTTGGAGCACCAAAGGTATCCATTTGTGATATGAACTGTATTTTTTTAGTTAATACAGCTTTGCAATCATATTTAGTTTGCAACTACATTTTTTTTACTTTCATGTTGAATGATCTTACATATTGTGTTGATGGTTTTGGTATGCATGAAGAGGACAATGCTAATTTGAAGAGAAATATAGTGGTGGTGCTTAAAAGAGAGTGCATTTACAATATAGATAGCAATATCTCCATCTCTTTTCTTGTTTATACATCATATCATATAAGGGGTTAGAGTCTGGGCATTTCCACACTACTGTTATTGGCTACCAGTGAACAGTCTGTAGAAGAATTGTATGTTCATGCAAGCCAGACATCTCCTTTTCTGATGTGTCCAACTTATCGATCTTACCAATGCTTCGTTGGCCTAAGTTTTTCTTATATTAAAGTTTAAGCTATTTCTCATATATGGATCTGGAAAACATGCTTAAACTTATAGGTTTGCACCAGTGACTGCTCTTAGGTTCATGCACTTATTTTGTATACTTGCAGTTAGAAAATGATGGTGACTTCCTCTACTTACTGGCGGATGCTGCTGCTATTGCGGTATGATTCATCTACATCTATTTTTTACCTCTTTGTTTGTTGAAAGCAAGTGACCATTGAGAGCCTATACCATTTGCAGTTCCAATATGGTAATCCTGATGTCTTGTGCTCCCCACTAGCTGAAGCAAAGAAGAATGGGACAGACTTGGTGGTAAGTAGTTTGTTATTTGAAAGCAGGATTAAAAGGGAAACCTTTTTCAAGAATCATGTGATGACTAAGTTGCTAAAATGTCTGTTTTCTAAAGATGTTTGTTGTAAGTAAGCGCATGATAATTCCTTGTGGACCTTGATTTTCATTTCAGTTGTGCTACCTAAATTTCTAGTAAATCTAGTATGCTCTAACAACTGTTATTATGCAGGAAACATTTGCTAGTTACGTGAAAGATTATTACATTGGAAAATTTGGGGCATCAGTAGCATCATATGATCAACAATATTTGAAGAACACTACTCCTGCTGAATCCTGTAAATATCAACCCCGATATTCAATTTTAGTATTTTACCAAATATCATGATTTAAGAGTTAGAATGAAACTTTGTGCATGGCTATTGTTAATTGTTATCTGAACATTTTTCTATTTTATTGACCATGCATCTGACTATTGATTCTATTTAGCATATAGACTATGGTGGTACCAAGTTTGCAGCGAGGTTGCATATTTCCAGGTGGCACCAAAAAATGATAGTGTCCGTTCCCCAAAGATCGACACAAGGTTAGTAGAGATACTATGCTCATTCACACCTTTTGTCTCTACCAAGTATCCTTTACTTATCCTTTTTCTTATTTCTACTACAAAGCTGCACTAGCCACTATCAAATCTTAAGATGAGCACTTCCACCATTGACTATATGAAAGTTGTCTCTGTTTTCTCTCTCTCTTTTTTTTTCTTTTTTTTAGGAAAAGTTATCCCAGTCTATCAACTAGGATCTTCTGTAATTTTAATGTGATTACATTTCTAAACCTTGTATTCATTTGCATCCTTGTGTTTGCAATTGTTTCTAGGTACCATTTGGACTTGTGCAGAAATGTTTTTGGCGAAGGAGTCTACCCTGATGTCTTCATGACAAACTTATACTATGGAGGCACAGCAATTGCAGGTATGGCCTTTGAATCCTCTGAATTATTCGCTTCAGTCCTTGAGCTATTAACTTTATGTCATTTTGCTTTCCTTTACCTTGAAAATTTGAGTCATCTGTGGAAGGGCCTTTGGTGCGGTGGTAGGGCTGTCCAGTGGGACGCTACCCACCAGAGTTCAAATCCTGGTGCCGCACTTTTTTGTGGATTTTTTTTTCTAGGAAAAGTAGGGTACACGCACACGGGCCTCCCAATCTCTTTCTTTGCGTGTGTATGGACGTGCACACATGCGTGTGCGTGTGGAGTGTGTGGGTTGTGTGCGTCTAGTTGTACCCTCTCAAAAAACAATTGAGTCATCTCTTCCGTTGGAAAAATTAAAAATAATAAGGATTTATCATGATTTATTTTTGAGGTTTCCACTACTAATTGTTACGAGATAGTACTATCAGTGTGTCAGTAACATATCAATTTTGTGAGGTCTGGGTGCTCTAGATGCACAACAAGCTGATATGTGAGGTCAGGATCAATGAACACTGGTAGAGGAACAGCAAAAGAGTTGAGTGGCTTCATATCTGCAGTGCTAATGGCCATGTGTTTTTTTTTTGCCACGCTAGTAACTTTGCGTTGTATAATCTTTAAATCGATATTATGGATATCCAATTGTGTGCAATGGTGTGTGCACAATACTTCAGATTACAGTGCGACTTCCATAGTAGTGTACCTACTGGTAAAAAAATCAAGTATTTGAAATTAATAAATCACATGCCTGCAGGTTCTAAAATTGTTTTTGCAAATGGATCTCAAGACCCATGGCGACATGCTTCTAAGCAGAAATCGTCAGACGAATGTGAGCATTTTTACTCCTACATGTCACTTCGTCACCATTTCCCTGTTTCATACATATACACATACGCTATGATGCTATATTTTTATCTGATATAAAAGCGGTAAACATTTCTTTTTCTGATGCTACTATATGCTAATGAAAGTTCTGCTATGCCTGCAGTGCCATCATACTTAATTGAGTGCAAGAACTGCGGACATTGCAGTGATCTCTCTGGATGCCCTCAAGCTCCTTCAAACATTGAAGGTAGATCCATCATTCAAACTTTTGCTGAAACTATGCTTGACATGATAGCGCAGGGGACCTTTGAATTTGCTAATTATAATTTCTGCTTTCATTGCATCATCAAGGATTAAGTTAGCTTTAGTCCCCTAGATTGTATAATTTGCAAGTGACCCCAATTTCGAGTTGTTTGTATTGTGCCCTCCAGGCGATTCATCCAAGTGCTCACCTCCTGAATCTCTGAACAAAGTAAGAAAGGAGATTGTTGATCACATCGACCTGTGGTTATCAGAATGCCAAGAGCAAGGTTAGTTTGGTTTATGTGTCTGCTCTGCCACTGAATATAGCGGTTTTCAATTATCCTTGATATTTTCTATCTAATGCCTCTGTAACATTGGCTCTGATCTTTTGCGCTATCTAAGGGCTGTGATGACTGACAGCTACGCCACCTCCAATTCAATCCAGTTTTGAACTAACATTGTTGCTCTATCTGCATTTCAGGACATGACAAGGAGCCATCACTGGGAAGCAGGTGGAGCATAGCTACTATTTGACCGATCTGTGGAAGCTATAAGCATGTGCTGTTAGACCTAGGAAAATATGTTATCTTTTCTTGCAGTACCGTGGTATATCGTTTCCGCAAACCATACAGGCTGCTGAGTAATCCACCGGTGGCAAATAAATAAAAGAGGCAGTTCTCAGTCTCTCCGTTTCTAAAAAAGTTCTCAGTCACTCAGCATCTTGGGATGCTTGCTTGCGGTGCTCAGACGTGAGAAATGTCCACCGTTCTGGACTCGGATGCGTTGACCTGTAGAGACGATGCCATGATTTGAAAATGTTTTGACGATCTGCACACTGACAAATTCGTTAATATACTTGTATATATATACATCTGGCGCATACCCTTCAGCATGAGAAATGATTGCGATGTTTCCCCTTGGTGGTAATTTTCTGAGAGCGTGTTCGTTAATATACTTGTATATATATACATCTGGCGCATACCCTTCAGCATGAGAAATGATTGCGATGTTTCCCCTTGGTGGTAATTTTCTGAGAGCGTGTTTAGTTCCAGGAAGCTAGAATTTGGGGCTATTGTAGCACTTTCGTTTTTATTTGGTAATTAGTGTTTAATTAGGGATTAATTAGGCTCAAAACGTTTGTCTCGTAATTTTCTACCAAATTGTGCAATTAGTTTTTTTATCTATATTTAATGCTCTATACACGGGTCGTAAATATTTGATGTGATAGATACTGTAGTATTTTTTTTGAGAATTTGAGGTGGAACTGAACACGCGCTGAATAAATCTGAGAGGTGCTGTACTGACTGACACATCGTATTCAACTGACACGATCACATGGTTATAAAATTTCCAAAGAGAAAAGGAGAACGTGTCCGTTCCGACGCGTCACGGAATGAACACTGCAGTGAGCAGGTGCAGTACCTAATCATGGACGACGTCACGGAGAAAGCTGACAGTTTTAGTGACCATCCAGCTAGCTCGCACCGTTGAAGGCAACGCTGGCTGGTCGGTGGGCTGATAAGTCCAGCTAATATTGATTTATTGTAAAAAAAAAATATTATTACCTGCTGAAACCAACAAGCGAATGTGCGTGCCGCTGTCAGAGCGGCGGTCCCGTCAGGCCGTCACGCAGCACAAAAGCCCAGCCCAAGGCAAGAGTCGCATAACAAGAGCCACTGGAGTATACTACTGGGCTGGAACGTGACGGGAGAGAATTTTCAGTCGGAGAGGCGGAGACAGATGATGGGGTCTCGCGCTCGCATCGTCTCCCTCCTCCTCGCCTTCCTCTTCGCGCGCGCCGCCGAGCCGATCGCCGCCGCCGCCGCACCCGCCGGCAGCAGGCACCTTACGAAGGACAAGCGGTGGATGAACTAGCGCCTCGACCACTTCTCCCCCACTGTGAGTCAACTCCCTCTCCGGTTCCCTCCCAGTCGCGCCTCGCGCGGTTTTATGAAGCAAGAAGCATTCCCGAAACGATCCCTGCGCTGCGGCTACGCGCACGGCGCACCCGTACTGCGGCCTGCGGGAGAGTTCTTGTTGGAGCGCCTTCGCTCACGCCGGCCACCGGGCCACGGCTTTAATTTTCAGGACCACCGGCAATTCAAGCAGCGCTACTTCGAGTTCCTTGACTACCACCGCGCCCCCGGCGGCCCGGTCTTCCTGCGCATCTGCGGTGAGTCCGCCTGCGACGGCATCCCCAACGACTACCTGGCCGTGAGTTGCCACTCGCATCGCACTCTCACAATGTCAAACACAGCACGTACATACGTTGATACATACATACATACACCTGGACAACTGCTTCCCGTACTCCGTCTCGTGCTGATGAACCGCCTGGTCCCTGTGCTCAGGTGCTCGCCAAGAAGTTCGGCGCCACGGTGGTGACTGTTACATAAAGGCTCCTGTTGCTGCGGTAGGGCAGTCGCCGTAGAGAGAGGCGTTGAATGGCTCATCTGTAGCACTGTAGCTACATATAGGGGTAGACGTCAGAGTCAGCCCTTGTAGCAGCATGATAGCTGTACTAGAACTAGAATAGATAGAGTTGTATAAATAGTTTACCGCTACAACTCAATAGAGAGAGAGTTCAGATTTGCCATCTCTTATACAGGGCTCCGGTCAACGCTAGTGTCTCTGCTGTGTGTGTATGCTCTGTTCTCCCTCTTCTTCTATCTCTGGCCATAGTGTGTGGTCGGACAACGTCTGTCGTTCTCGGCCGTAGTCGGTAAAACTGGTGAGTGGTCGACTCACCTGAGCCGGTGATTCCGTGGGCTAACAAGTGGTATCGGAGCAGTACAAGCACCGTCGCCGGACTAACCGCTGGCGATGACGAACGGTTCGGAAATGGGCGACAACAGTGGCACTGCTGTGGCTGTCCAGCCACGATAGGAGGTCGTTGTTCGCACGGTGCGGGAGGTCAGCGGCACCGGTTGGCCGACGCTGACTCGCACCAACTATGGAGAGTGGTCGGTGACCATGAAGATCAAGCTCAGAGCCCAACGGCTCTGGAATGCTGTTGACAAGGGCACCGAAAATAAAGAAGATGACATGTCAGCGTTGGAGACTATCCTCGCTGCTGTACCGGCGGAGTACAGGGAGCCATTGGGGGAAAAAAGCTCTGCTAAGGAGGCGTAGGAGGATATTGCGGCGATGCGCGTCGGTTTCGACCGCGCAAAGAAGGCGACGGCTCAGCTTCTGAATCAGGAGTACGCCAACCTCAAGTTTAAGGATGGTGAAACGATGGAGGATGTCTCCCTCGTCTGCAGATACTCATCAGAAAGCTAAAGAGCCACGGCGTCACCATCGACGAAGAGGAGGTGGTCTCCAAGTACCTCCACTCCGTGTCGACAAAGTACATCCAAATCGCTCTCTCCATAGAGACGATGCTAGACTTGTCCACCCTCACCATTGAGGATGTGACAGGCCGTCTACGGGCGGTGGACGGACGCCTGGAGCAGACGACAGCAATGAAGGACAACGACAAACTGCTGCTGACAGAGGAGGAGTGGGCTGCTCGGAGGAATTCCGGGGTAGCCTCCTCCAGCCGTGGTGGCAATGGCAAGCACCGCGACAAGGCTTCTTCGGAGAAGAAGACGTAGGTCGACCCAACGCCTGCCGACGCTGTGGGAAGACAGGCCATTGGGCATGAGAGTGTTTAAATCGCAAGCGGGAGAAGAAGGCTAAGGTCATCTGGCACAAGCTGATGATGATGAGGCCACTATCCTGATGACAACGTTCTGTGCACTGCACGACGTCGAGGTCGAGGAGAAGGGAGAGGTGATGACGGTGAAAGGGCCTGGGAAGGTCCTGAAGGCTATCGACCTCGACGAACCGCGCGCCCAAGTCCACCTCGGACGTGTGGGCGCCGACTAGGAGCAGTGGTGGTATCTGGACTCTGGCGCCAGCAACCACATGATGGGCTCCAAGGAAGCCTTCTCCGAGCTCGACGACGATGTTACCGGTACGGTGAAGTTTGGTGACGGCTCACGAGTGGCTATCCGAGGGCACGGCACCATCATCTTCAGGTGCTAGAACGGGGAGCACCGCGCGCTAACGGATGTATATTACATTCCATAGCTACGTTCAAGCATCATCAGCATTGGTCAGCTGGATGAGCGCGGTAGCGAGGTACTGATCAAGGATGGAGTCCTTAGGATCAGGGACCAGGAACAACGACTTCTTGCCAAGGTGAAGAGGTCCCAGAACCGGTTGTACCTGCTCGACCTGAAGGTAGAGCAGCCAGTGTGCCTGGCGGTAAGGCACACCGAGGAGCCGTGGCTGTGGCATGCTCGGTTCGGACATCTCAGCTTCGACGCGCTTGGTCGGCTAGAGAAGATGATCCGAGGGCTACCCCACATCAAGCACGGAGGCGAGCTGTGTGATAGCTGCCTGGCCGAGAAGCAGAGGGGGCTGCCGTTCCCAAAGGCGACCAAGTATCACGCGACGGACGCTCTCGAGCTCATCCACGACGACCTCTACGGGCCGATCACGCCAGCCACAAACGATGAGCGGTGGTACTTCCTCCTGCTCATGGATGATTACAGTCGCTACATGTGGCTACAACTCCTGACGAGCAAGGATGAAGCGGCGGCGGCGATCAAGTAGTTCAAGATGCGCTTAGAGGCCGAGAGCGACAAGAAGCTCCGCATGCTGAGGACTGATCGCGGCGGTGAATTCACTTCGATGGAGTTCGCTGCGTACTGCGTGGATCAGGGTGTGGTGCGACACCACACTGCCCGTACTCGCCACAACAGAATGGCGTGGTGGAGAGGCAGAACCAGATGGTGGTCGGCATGGCTCGATCCATGATAAAGGCCAAAGGCATGCCGGCAAGGTTCTGAGGTGGGGCGGTAACCACGGCGGTGTTCATCCTCAACCGCGCTCCCACCAAGGCCCTGAAGGGCAAGACGCTGTTCAAAGCTTGGTATGGGCGGAAGCCGAGCGTGTCCTTCCTCTGGACATTCAGTTGCATCGGCCACGTCAGGAAGACGAAGCCGAACCTCACCAAGCTGGAGGACAGGAGCACACCAATAGTGTTTCTGGGCTACGCGGAGGGTACCAAGGCGTACTGGCTCTACGACCCACGCGGAGACAAGGTACTTGTCTCACGCGATGTCGTGTTCGACGAGAAGGCAGCTTGGGACTGGAACAGTCCGAGCACGGGGGAAGCTGGCGGCTTCACTAGCACCTTCGTCGTCGAGCACCTGGTCATCCATAGTGGTGAAGACGCTAGGAAAGAGGTGCCGAGTACTCCGGGAGGGGTGCCGAGCACTCCAGCGATAGAGCCAAGCACTCCTGGGACATGCCGAGCACTTCGGTAGGGATGCCGAGCACTCCTGGAGGGATGTCGAGCACGCCAGGAGTGGTGCCGGGAGGTTCTACGGTGGTGGCGACCACTCCAGGACGGGTGCCGAGCACTCCCGTAGCTGAGCCAAGATGTCTTACAGTGGTGCCAACCACTCCAAGACTGAGGCTCAGCACTCCTACAGTGGTGCCGAGCACTGCAGGAGTTGTGACGAGCCATCCAGGGTAGTGCCGAGCACTGCATCCGGGGTGTCGAGCACTCCAGGTGCTGTGCCGAGCACTCCGGCGGAACAAGGAACTCCATCGATGCCGATCGAGTTCGCCTCACCTCCAGGTGACATCACTGAGTTCGTGGATGCCTTCCACGAAGGTGAGGAGGTGCGGTTCCGCAGGCTGGACGACATCATCGGTGGCACAGGGCCCTCAGGCCTGGCGGGTAGGCTGCTCAATGACCCAGAGTTGCTACTCATCAGTACAGAGGAACCACCCATGTTCGCGCTGGCCGAGCGCGATGGAAACTGGCGACGGGCAATGCTCGAGGAGATGAAGGCGATCGAGGAAAACGAGACTTGGAAGCTCGTCGATCCACCTCTAGGATGCCGTCCGATCAGCCTAAAGTAGGTGTACAAGGTCAAGCGGGACGAGCTCGGCGTCATTGTCAAGCACAAGGCGCGTCTCGTGGCCTGAGGCTTTGTTCAGCGCGAGGGCATCGACTTCGAGGAAGTCTTTGCGCCAGTAGCACGCATGGAGTCTATTCGTTTGCTAATGGCCTTGGCAGCAGCAAATGACTGACGCGTCCATCACTTAGATGTTAAATCGGCCTTCCTCAACGGTGAGCTGGCGGAGACGGTCTTCGTTAGGCAACCTCCAGGTTTTGCCGTCAAGGGAGAGGAGCACAGGGTGCTCCGAGTGCGCAAAGCGCTCTACGGGCTACGGCAGGCCCCACGAGCGTGGAACGCCAAACTTGACGCCACGCTGGGCGAGCTTGGGTTCCAGCGGTGCGCAACCGAGCACGCGCTCTACACGCGGCAACGGGGGAAGGAGGAGCTCGTCCTCGGCGTGTATGTGGATGACTTGATCGTCACCGGTGCGCGCGCGGAGGACACCGGCAGCTTCAAGCACGAGATTGCGGCTCGTTTTTGAATAAGCGATCTCAGCGCACTCTCCTACTACCTCGGCATCGAGGTGAGACAGGAGAAGGAGGAACTCACGCTCGGTCAGAGCGCGTATGCCTCGAAGCTGTTGGAGCAGAGCGGCGGGGCTGAGTGCAAGCCATGCGTGACTCCAATAGAGTAGCTGCTGAAGCTGACAAAGGCCAGCACCGTGGCGAAGGTAGATGCAACACTCTACCGGAGCATCGTCAGCGGTCTGCGCTACCTAGTTCACACGAGGCCAGACATTGCGTTCGCCGTGGGCTACGTCAGTCGCTTCATGGAGGATCCCAGATAGGATCACTGGGCTACGGTGAAGCGGCTACTGTGCTACATCAAGGGGATGGTAGATCAGGGAATCATCTTTCCCAAGACCGGTGGGAGTAGACTGCAGCTCACTGTGTTCAGTAATACAGACATGGCGGGGACATCGACGGACGATGGAGCACCTCTGGCGTGCTCGTCTTCCTCGGGTCGGTTCCAATTTCATGGCTGTCGCTGAAACAGAAGGTGGTGGCGCTGTCTACGTGCGAGGCAGAGTACGTAGCGGTGGCCACAGCGACGTACCAAGTTGTGTAGCTGTGCCGGTTGCTGGGCGAGCTGACCGGAGTGAAAGCTCACCCACCAGCCCTGATGGTGGACAACCAGCCCGCCATCGCCCTCGCGAAGAATCCGGTTCTGCACAACCAGAGCAAACACATCGACATGAAGTTCCACTTCCTCAGGACTGTGTTGATAGAGGACAGACCGTCATCGAGTTCGTCGAAACTGGTCGGCAACTCGCGGACGTCCTCACCAAGCCGCTCGGACGTTTTCGACTCGTTGAGCTGAATGAGATGATCGGCATGAGGGGGTACAAGGGATAACAGTAGGATTAGGGGAAGAATTGTTAGATAATCTACCGTTTTCTTGTGTGAACACACAACAAGGGAAGGAGGCGCCGAAAAGGCTCCCTGTTGTGGTACTTTAGCCGCTGTAGAGGCAGGCGCCGAATGGCTCACCTGCCGGACTGTAGCCACATACAGGGGCAGACGCCAGAGTCAGCCCTGCTGTGTTATCTAGTAACTGTAGTAGCATGACAACTGTACTAGGACTAGAATAGATAGAGTTGTATAAATAGTTTGCCGTTACAACTCAGAGAGAGAGTTCAGATTTGTTATCTCCTATACAGGACTCCGACCAACGCTGGTGTGTATGCTTTGTTCTCCCTCTCGTTCTACCTCTGACCATAGTATGTGGTCAGACAACGTCTGCCATGCTCGGCCGTGGTTGACAAGACTGATGAGTGGTCGACTCATCTGAACCGGTGATCCTCTGTGCTCACAGTAACGCCGGAGCACCGGTACTACGGGAAGAGCTCTCCCTTCAAGCAGCTGACCACCGAGAACCTGAGGTTCCTGTCATCGAAGCAGGCCCTGTTCGACTTGACCGTCTTCCGGCAGTACTATCAGGTTGCATTGACATTTTGTTGCCTGATTCAGCATCTAATTTTCTCAATAACGTGAGCCTTTTCTTCTCTGTTTTTCCTTCTTTTTTCTAGAGGAATCTTTGAATGCCCGGTACAACCGATCAGGTTTTGACAATCCCTGGTTCGTCATCGGGATCTCCTACTCCGGCGCTCTCAGCGCTTGGTTCAGGCTCAAGTTCCCCCATTTGACATGTGGGAGCCTCGCGAGCTCAGGGGTGGTTCTTGCAGTGTACAACTACATCGACTTTGACAAGCAGGTTGATAGTACGGGCATAGGTGGAGATGGCACATATTAATTCTGTCTGCTTTATTTATGTACTTCGACCCAATTCAGGTCTCCTTTATTATCGCCGTGTTTAGTTCTAAATTTTTTTCCTAAAAAGTGCTATAGTACCCATCACATCGAATCTTACGATACGTGCATGGAGCATTAAATGTAGACGAAAAAAAAACTAATTGCACAGTTTGGTTGAAAATTGCGAGACGAACGTTTTGAGCCTAATTAGTCAATGATTGAACACTAATTGCCAAATAAAACAAAATACTACAGTAGCCCAAATTCCAAACTTCCCTCTACTAAACACGCGCTATGTAGGTTGGAGAGTCAGCTGGCCCTGAGTGCAAAGCTGTCCTTCAGGAAATAACTGAACTTGTTGATGAACAGCTCCGGTTGGACAGTCACTCGGTGAAGGCTCTGTTTGGAGCACAGACGGTAAATATTATTGTACATAACAAGTTGATGATGCCAATTTCTCATTAGTTCAATTCTCTGATGATATATTTTACTCTGCGTGCAGTTGAAAAATGATGGTGACTTCCTCTTCTTCCTGGCAGATGCCGCAGCTATAACAGTATGCATAATCTTTTTCTATGTTGCTTCTATTGAAAAGTATCTTTTGTGGGTGTTTGAGAGCCAATGCCATTTTGCAGTTCCAATATGGGAATCCAGATGCCTTGTGCCCTCAGCTAATAGAGGCAAAGAAGAACAAGAAAAACTTGGTGGTACATGTCCCTTCTTCTATAGTTGTACTTGATATTTTCTGTAATATCTTGCTGGAGCGAGCAAAGAAATAACTACATATATTAATATTTTATATACAAATTGCCTTACTAGTTCAATGCCTGCAATCGTGCCACAAGAAAATAAGAGGAATAGGCAAAGTACTTTAATCTATGAAGATGGAAAGCAGTTATACTATTGAGTGATGAGTGAAGATTCTGCAGGCAACATATCGATGGATGACCAAACACATTATATATTTTTTTCCTATTATTTCTTCCCCCTTTAGAGCTTCCTTTTTTATCCTCCATTTACTGGTTTTGCAGGAAGCATATGCTCAGTTTGTGAAAGATTTTTACATTAAAAAAATGGAGACACCACCATCTTCGTATGATCGAGAATATTTGAAGGAAACAACTCCAGATGATTCTGGTAGATGATGTTCTGCTTGTTTTCTTTAATAAAAAAATAGAAACTGTGCTTGCATCTAAGAGCGAAACACCATGACAACTCTTGTTTGGTATTCAAATTTACATACCTACAAGGTACTTATTCACGTTACAATTCCTTTTAGGTTCTAGGCTCTGGTGGTTCCAAGTTTGCAGTGAGGTTGCCTACTTTCAAGTGGCACCCAAAAATGATAGCGTTCGTTCTGCAAGGATCAATACGAAGTAATATTTCTTATCCTTCTTCTGTGTGTTTCGACTTTTGACATATCTATCAGGTTTTACATGTTCTGATATTCCAAACTGTGTTACAATATCTTTATGGTTTAACATGTCTGGGTCATAGTATATTGGATTGGAGTAGCACGAGCATACTGACTACTATGTACTTTTCTTTAGTCATCTCATTGCACTATACTATACAGACCTTACACGTTTTGAACTTCCAGGTACCATTTGGACCTATGCAGAAATGTTTTTGGGGAAGGCGTTTATCCTGATGTGTTCATGACGAACTTGTATTATGGAGGCACAAGAATTGCTGGTTCGTCTCTCTAGCTAGCTTTGATCGTCTGTTGTGTGACACCAAAGTGACAACGAGCTGCTCTTTCAACTTTGCAATCTACTTGCCTTTTCTCTGATGCTTCGTCAAATATGTACAGCTTCTAAAATTGTGTTTACAAATGGCTCCCAAGATCCATGGCGTCATGCCTCCAAGCAGAAATCATCGAAAGACAGTGAGTCCTCCAGAACTCTTTATGATGTTCCTTGTTCTTTATCCATTAGCCATACAAATCCGAACGACTTATTTTGCCCTGTGTAAGTACTTTTCTATAGATAGCTGGCTTTGTGTATACCGATAGATGTTCCATAAACCATGCAGTGCCATCGTACCTAATGAAATGCAGAAATTGTGGACATGGAACTGATTTGAGGGGCTGTCCGCAATGGCCTTTCAGGGTTGAAGGTAATTTGAAAAAAAAAACGTTCCATAAAGCTTTGCTGTGATTGCAATACAATAATCTACTTTCTTTTTGTCTACTACAGTGTAGTAATATAGTGTATTAGTGTTGGCAGAGTAGTTTACATGAGTTTTATACAACCTCTTGATTTATCACCCAGTTTAGATGAGAATGCTCACTCGTTATGCACTGATCAGGGGACTCTTCAAACTGCTCATCTCCCGCAGCAGTCAATGCAGTAAGAGAGAGGATCGCCAAGCACATTGACCTGTGGCTGTCGCAATGCAATAAACCATCAGTAGGGTATGGGTCTCTGCCCCTCTAGCTACATTCTGGTGGGCGTGCAGTCCATCTAACTCAAACCTGGCAACTTGTGAATTCTGATCCTGTGCTGCTCTTTTCGATTGACGCAGGGCCTGGTAACCACTGATTAGTGGCTGTTCCACTGGGAAAGATTGGAAAGAGGTTTGGATGTCCTGGAGTAAGCTTGTGTTGGGAAATACTCCGTACATAACTACCTCGGACTACGGCTATGTGCATTTTCAAAAGCAGATATTTTCTAGGTGGTGGAATAAAACAATAACGCAACTTGGCAGCTTCGGTATCATGCATATGGCCGATTTTGGAATGCAGATGACAGGACATATAGGATCTACTAGTTCGTAGTTCGGACAAGTTGGGTGGATCAGGGAATCAGCCACATAAACTGCAAAGGTCCGTTATGTGCTAAGCGACATGCCGACATGGTTAACATATAAAGAGCACCTGGTGCCTGCCTACATCTCGCTCACTGTACGTTTTAATATGAGACATGATGGTTCTATCCCATTGCATTTGTATATTCCATGAGGTGGTAAGTGAACTGATTGGTACGGTTCACCTGCCGTTACGCTTGTTTGATAGCGCACAATTCCTTGCCATATGCTATTCTTGACGCCGTAGGCCCGTAGCTCACATTTCCACAAGAAAAATGAGCACGTAATCCTTATGTTTCCCTGTCGCACGCTGTGTATCATTGTATTAATAAGACTCAATGTGAACAGGAATGAAACGGATCCTGGTCTAGAAGAATGAACTGGAGTTGATGCCGTGTGCATATTAATACGCAGCATGGACGGCTATACGTTTCGCTTTTATTTACTTTTGATGATATCATTAAGTGATGCGTCATTGTAATTAAACTATCTCTCGATCTTAATACAATAATATGCAAGCCTTTTACGTATTTGAGAAAAAAAACTTTTGATGATATTATAGAACCCATATTTTCCTAGGAAGCCAAAAAAAAAAAAAAGAAATTGATTGATCTTTACTAGTCCATTAATCGCTCTCATATATGCTAAATCTTATGAGACACTATATGTTAATTTTAAGAGTGAATTGTGCTATGGGTCCTTAAACTTTTCTTCACTTCTCACATAGTCCAATAAACTTTTTTTCGCCTATCTGGGTCCATAAACTTTGTCTCTACATCCCAGCCGCCATCCAAAGTAGGCTATATAGGACTTTGCTGCCTACGTGGCCGCTGATATGGTGCCACGTGCTCTTTTTTTTTATTTCATAAACTGGCTAAAACTTTGAAAATTTGTATAAAATCATAGAAAATCGTAAAAAGGAAACTCCAGTTTTCTTAGACTCCACATGGGTAGATCTATGCAATAGATATATAATATGACATGCTTTAGTTTAAATTTTTTGATGTAGTTGTAGATCTATGCAGATCTATGTGTTTCTGTTTAATTCATAACTGTAGCTCCTGTGCTTCAATTATGGTAAAAATTTTATGGTAGGCTACTCATTGTATACTCGAGCTATGTCAAAATTTCAGGTTCAGTGGACCATGTATGATTCTTTAATAGTTAATAAATAATTAAAAGGTGTAAAATGAAAATGTGGTTTCATTGCCTTTTGATGATGTTTTTATGCATTGTGAACACTTACTATCACCATGTTGTTACATAAAATGTTGAGATTTAGATTTATCCTTGCATCACATGCTTTCTTGCAATTCAAACTTGTTTTTACTGCAGTAATTAATCTACTAGCTCTGGGCATTTAATCTTTTTATAGTAGCTATGTTTTGTTATCATCTATCACCCATAAAAATCCCAACTTCAAATTAAATGTTTGGTACACCACCTGTGTACGGCAAAAAGTGAACTCGCCGCCGGCACACATAGCAAGCCGAGAGAAACCACGTGGAGCAGATCCCGAGCTCTCCAGATTTAGGAGGACACCGGACCGGATGGTCGTGACCTAGGGCGTGCCAGTCAATTTCATCCTGTAATTGACAAGGAGAGAAATGTAATCAATAATTTAAGGTGGAACATATCGGTGTTGCTCCAGAAAGTTCCAAATGTGCGGCTAGATAGCCGATTCGATAAAGCTATCGATTAAATAGTCGATATCCAGCATGTTCATGATATAGGATGTTGAAAAACAAATACTATTGGCAATTATCAGATATAAATGATATAAATCTAATGCCAATGATCATAAAACATGCAAAAACATGGTAGAGAGCTATATGAATGAAAGCATTTGCATTGAGTATACCCCGTATTGGCTCAAAGATAAGGACAAAAACAAGTACAATAATAAAAGCTAATACACTTGCAATGCACGGCCATCGACAAAAACTAGCCGATTCCAAAGTAAACAGATGCATAGCGTGTGGTCAATCACTTATCTAGTATAGATGGATCTACAAGCTCATCAAATCTAATATATCATCATTAACAGAGGGGGTCGAGCGAGTTGAAGATAGCCATAATAATGATAACAAATTAAACTCTTAAAACACATTGATCTATCCATATTTAGACAGGATTATGAGCACGTGTTACAAGCGTGAAAGCATAAGCAACCAGCCGAGGGGCCGATCTAAGTGGTTTTTGTCGTATAGTATGCGAACGTTCAACCACCGAAGCATAAGTAAATCTATAAACGACCAAACCCAATTTACGGCACTATCAATAGGTCGACCAAATCGATGCAGCATTGATAGTAGAATGGCAAACTGCAAGCCTAGCAATCTATAAACGTACTTATGTTTTGGTGGAATTATGAACGCGTGCCATACACGTGAAAGCTCAAGCTATCGGCTAAAATAGCCGATAGAAACATAGCGGATGGATGACGTCATGTCTCCCTTAAAGAGTAGATCCATTGACCAACAATATCCGATCTAGTGCGCTACCAACAGGATGGTAACGAAGACAGCAAACCGGAGATTGATGACTAACAAACCTATTGGGTTCATAAACCCGGGGTCCCTCGAGGACCGGCTTCCACGCCAGGGCTCGGCCCAAGAAAACAGTATGTAGTTCATGGGCCGGCCCAAGAGTCTAAAACACAATGGGCCGGAAGGACAGTCCGGTCGCCGACCGGAAGGTCTACCCAAAGGAACAAACACCCGCTCGTCAACTTCTTTGGCCCACCTCTCCGACCAGAGCACTCTCTTCGGACACCAGCCGCCTCCAAGCGGTCTCTCCGATCAGAAGGCCTGGCCCAAAACGCTGCTTCCTACTCCGACCCTGCATCTCCGATCGGAGACCCCATAGGAAGCCTACTTATCGCTCTTCTCCGACTGGCGCGGCCAGGGCCGACTGGGGCCATCCGACCGGGGACGCCCGCTCGAAAGGGACCAGGGGCGAAACGGAGAAAGGCAACAAGACAAGTCAAACCACGATACGAGAACCATACCTCAGACGCTGGAAACGAGGCTCCACAACCGCCCTGACACAAATAGTATTATAGGCACCGACATTTGTGTCTACAGTATTGTAGGTGTCGTTGGACTCCCGTACGGCGAAAAGCCCCCCACATGCCTTTGGGCATCGATAGTACTATGGGCACCAGGATTCACCATACCTGGTACACGTGGTAGGGCTCCTCACATACCAACAATATTTTGTAGGTACCGACATCTACCCTCCCTGAAGAAGACAACGCAACCTCCCATGTGCACCTGACATTCTACAGTGACATCAACAGTATTGTGGGCGCCTACCATCATCACTGTCCTCATCGACATGGGCAACAAGGCTTAGTAACATCCGTACTCTCCCTCTCACATGTAAAGCCATCCCCTTCATCTATAAAAGGGGATATGCTCCCTCCAACGAGGGGAGAGACTTCTTCAAGTTGAGATTCACTAGATCGATAGCTCACAACCCCTCAAGCACACGCTTAAACACCTAGCTCATAGCGGAGTTCCGGTCGCTCTCGGCCCTCCCGGTCGGACCCGACCGGGCCTCTCGTACACCCCCACCTTTCTCCTTCTTGTTTGTAACCCCACTACGGACTTCGAGCACCTAGGCTCAGGAATAAAGTCACCGACCGACCCAAACTGGACGTAGGGCACGTTGCCTGAACCAGCATAAATCCTGTGTCATTGAGTGCTAGGCCACCTCCGATCACAACGTATAACAAAACTACAAATATTCACTAGTTGGTCACTTTCTGTACCGACAGTTGGCGCCGTCCGTGGGGAAGACGTTGTACGTTCAACACTTTTTGGTCATCGGATGGCCCATTTGTCCGCCACCCCCGCCGTGGCGGGCTCGGGCGATACGACTCGCTTTGGCTCGCTGGAATCTCCCATACCCTCGCCTACTGGGATGCGGGTTCCACTCGTTTTCGAGCCATCCCAGACCTTCCTCTTTGAAAGCCTGGACTTTGTCGCCAACCGGCTCGGCGTACTCCACCTCCGTGAGGAGACTCGCGACCCGGCACCCGTCGGAGAGACGTCCTCCATCGACTCTCGGGACGCGCGACTTCGATGCACGACATCTGCTCTTCATTCCGAGCAAACTCTCTGCTCAAACCCCACTATAAGTAATACGCGTACTTTTATTTGCCCTTTATTTACTACCTCCCACCGATCACCCGGAGGGACTGCACCGCCTACACCACAAACACCGTACGGTTGGTTCCCCTATGGCCTCGCGTCCTCCGCGGATGCTTACGCTCAGGGGCTCTAAAGGCGCTGGCACCATCCCCACTCAGGTCCGAATTCGTAGGAATGGCAAGCTTCGCTCCTGTCGTTTCTCACGAACTCCCAAATAACGAGGGCGAGAGTGATGGTTCCAGCATCGGTGATGTGGTGCCCCACCATCGTCCATCCCGGAATGCGCTATGGCAGACGGTCCAAGACAGCCGCCGGTGGTTGCGGAGTCTGCGCAAACTCACGCCCCTCCGGACCCGCGTGTGGAGGCCCTCGCGTTCGCGCAAGCGCACACCGAGGAATTACGACAACGGCGGCAAAGCCAGCCGCCGGCTGCGCCAGCATGGTCGGTACGACACGTTGCACCCCATGCGCAT